AAAATAACAGATATATTATTTATTATATTATAATGAAAACAATATATAACTCTCATATGATTCAGCTTTAAATCACATAGCGAGAAAAAGGAACGGAGCGTTTTAGAAAACAAAGGAATTACTTTAAATGCCACGATCATGTTTTAAGTAGTCAGGATTGCAAAGATAAAGACAAATTAGTCACATTTATAAGTGAATTTTACCAACTTGGAAGAAAATTAAATGAAAGCAGTTTTAAGTATTTGAATAGTCGAAACATAACTTCACAATTAGCTTCAAATGTCAAATATATGAAGAAAAAAAAAGAGTTAATTAGCTTCGAAAACATATTTCGTATAAAGCAAAGTACGACGGAGTATTAATTCAAACGTTAAAAGTGAAATTGTTATTTAATAATTTATTTACCTACGTTTTACTTGCCTTTGTTTTCTTACTTTTTATTACGAGATTTAGCTTTTTCATTATTGTTTTTCTCACTTATTTGTTTTTTTAATAAAAAGTTATCAGACAATTACTCAGTAAATATTAAGCACCGACAGAGTAACAAAGGTGGCTATGAAAACAATGCTACAGCAATAAGTTGAATCGGATGCCTTTTAGTTGCTGCAACCCAATGTGTTTATAATATTGTTTTTTATTTAATTTAGTATTGTCTCATTTATAGTGGATGAGAGAAGTGTTATAGTGATGAATAAATCAATTCATTCGTTTTTCAAATAAATTAATGTAAAGTATTATACATCTACAAAAATATTTTCAACTGCTAAGACATCACATAAAAAGTTACTTCTGCGTGGGATCTATAATTATAATGTCGCAAGTAGTCGCGCACTTACGTTCTCTTTCCCATATGACAACGACTCAACGATTTATGATCTGATGAATGAAGTTTAGATATAGAGTCTATAATATGATGTTCACAATGCATTAAGACCTCAAAACACACTCGCATATCATTCCATTAGATGAGTGGTTGCGGCGTTAGTGAATCCATCAATTTGGATACGTAAACTATTTTGTACCGTGTGTGTCGTAAGAGGCGACTATGGGTTAGCCGCAAGATCTTGCTGATCTCGCTGCTATGAGATATAAATGGGATATTACCATCATTTACAAGTCAGGCGTAAAGCAGCGTCGACGAAAAGCAGCGTCAAAGTTGCATACGTCTGGTACAACGATCTGCGATTCGGCACTCAATCGCAATGATTAGGGCAAATCCACCAAACAACGGGGGTAGCCCATCCCCAACAGTTTCACTTTTACGGGTTGTTCATGAAGTAGGAGATATCCTTCCATATATTTATTGCATAAACATTAAGTTTTTATATATTATGAATACAGCCATTAAACCACATGTCCGATAGTTTTATAAGCTGCAGATAAAATATATTTTCAAAAATTACACATATATTGTGTTAAGTACAGTAACTAAAATAAAGTAAATATTACGTAATGTTTTCACGGTTTATTTTCTGGTTAAGTTTTGCTTTACAAAACCTTGTATTTCTTAGCATAAACAAGGAATTATCCGAAAGTTTCATCTAAATTAAAAAATGGCTTGTCTTGTAATTTATACGGGATAATTTGCAAGTTTTCTATTTGTTTGCAAACTGTCTGATCTTTTCTTGATGCCGGACCTAGACAGTAGATTCGTTACCGATACTCTAAGAAAAATAAGCAAAATATTACAACATTCTGATCTTTTACTTAAAATTAACATACAAATCTCTTTCGTTATTCATTTTTCAACGCTATTTATACGAATGTTCTCCAGACTGAATTTCAGTTCGGCGGCCAGTCAAGTTTATAGTACCCAAGTGTGTGCCCAAATATGCCCAAGTATGTGTGCAATCTCTATATCCCTCACTCGCATATTCCGATGCGACTCAGACGCAGGATATAGGTACGTGCTGGCACGGGGTGAAACATCACCTACTTTTTGACTTCGGACAACTAATAAGAATTTCTTGAAAGAAAGACCCAATCGATAATTATGACCCAACCCTGGATTCGAACCGATCTCATCAGCAGTTGCTCTTATGTCCTTTGGAACAACGAAGAAGTCAAACGTCACCACGCTATTATTAACAATATCGCGTCTAAGCAAACAATTTTTTTAATCCTGCTGGTAAGCAGTTTTTAGTCGAGAACTTGAAGAACTATTTAATAAATGTATTTTAATAATATGTTGTTTGTAATAATTACGTTCATTTAAAATGAAGGATGAACGTGAACACTTATAGTGTTCACTTCATGTTGTACTGACACGATAATAGTGAAACGCCTGAGAAAATTGCACTTGCAAAATGTGCTGTTGCATTATTGCTATACAAAATAATATTACGTATACACAGAGTTACTACAACTTTACGAAACAATTGACTTATTACTGTACGGTAAAAGGTTTATACGTCGCATTATGTTATATAATACTAATTTCAAAAACAAAAAAAAAACAATCATGTTACAACTTGCAGCTGAAGTAGTCGCTAAGACGTAGTGCATCGAATAACTAAAACCCTGACTGTAAGAGCTTGTTATAACATCATACATATAAATAAGCATGTTAATAGTAGCGTATGTGGTAATTATTATTTTTGAAGTCGATTTATTACTTTTTATATAATTTGAAATTATTATACCCTGTTCGGTGGTCTCAGAAATATCACAAGTTCAAGGTAAAACAACTAGAATGTCGTTAAAATAGGTACTACTACTTTAACACTTTTAGGAATTGATTTCTTCTTTAAATGTATGGGACCACCCCTGAAGTACAACATATTAATTAAAAAAAGAATCTTTTAAATTGGTTTAACCGTTTCCGAGAAATTGCTGAACGTAAATAAAACATACAAATATAATATTACCTCCTTTATATCGAATTTTTTTTTACAATAGTGATTGCAGACGAGCACACAGACCACCTGATTGTAAGTGGATGCTGTGACCCATAGACATCTATATTTAGCGTTGTCACCCCTGAGGATCATGATGGTATGTAAGAACGCCTCGTTTCCAATAAAAAGAATCTCGGGTTCTCTACATTCACCATACGAAATACAGCAGCATGAAGCTGTTATTTTACGCTGGTATTCTGTGAAAGCGTGTTCCTACCCCGGTTAAGCCGACCAATTCATACTATAACTACAATATAGAAACAACATGGCTCTACTACTCTGTAATAATCTTTAATAAAAAAGACATCAACGCGCGTTATCATTAAGTCTTTTTTTGCCTAAGAAATTAATAATGTTTTATCATATCAGTCATCCATTAATTAACACTATTGGTTGCCAATGGTGTCAATGTTAAGAGTTTCTGTCAACTAATTCACTATCTTGAGTTCAAGTCCCAACCAAACGAACACACTCTACACCTGTGTGCTTTACCATTGGACTACCGAGCGTTCCTAATTAAAGTGATTTCTTATGTTTTTATTTTGGTAACAAATAATAGTTTTAAACCAAAAATGCTTAATTGAGGGTTTAAACAAGTTTTTTTTTTCACTAAAATATATTCTTTTGTCGCGGCGCGACATCCTCGTAATTCTAGATAAGCTGTCGAATTCCATGCTCTATATTTTATTCGCGTATTTTACGCGGTATTTCTTCATTGAAACAGACTCTAGTTTAAGCCTCAGATTAATTATTATGAATAACAAAGAAAAGTAATGAAATACAGTAGGATATAGTTTTATATACCCAAGGGGTTGGGAAGAATAATATCATGAATTTCGTTCGGTGGAATACAAAAAAATGACAAGCTTTATTAAAATACGGCTGGAAATTAAATTGATCAAAAAAGAAATGTGACCTTTATAATATACGAGGAAACTGTACCCCTCAGTCCATATTATAAATCTTTCACTTATCATACGTAAGACGTTTAAAATTATTAATAGAATTGCAAATATATATCTTGTTTTGGGTTTGGGTTAATAAGATTTTTTAGTATATTTACATATGAAACATAATACACACAATATTTATTATAACAATAAAATACTAAAACTAAAAACATCATATAGCCATACTTCCCAAGGTATAGTGCCTGTACTTTGCATTTGTGTGAGTAAAAATCAGCACTCTTATCACCAGTGGCGACGACCAAACACAGAGGAGAACACACCGGGCCGATAGTCTCTACAGCAATTGGAACAAATATATTTACCGGGTTCAGCACTGACATGAAAGGCCGCCAAAGTACGTCTACGCACGTAGCATTCTATACATTTTCTATATTTTCAACATCCTAACGCTCAAAACTGAGGGAATATCTATAGAGACGTCATTCGGATAAAGTCGTTCAGAACAACGTGACGATATAAGCTAAGAGTACTTTTGTTACTTGAAAGTTCGTCGAACTCAAACACTCGTACGTCGAACACAAAGTTTAAGCTACCAATATTATAAGTTATTATTTTCGTTCACTGTCACAGCCTATTAAAATTTACTGCTGAACATAGGCCTCCCCCATAGATTGCCTGACAACTGACAAAGCATCTTTTTTTTCTGTGTGTAACAAACCATATTTTACACGGGGAAATGCCTACGCATACCCACCTCGCGGGGGCTAGGACGAGTTATGTCAGACTTGCACCGACTAAAACCCCAAGGTGTTCTTCCTTCACCGCATCGCATACTCGATCTGCAAAATTGACTTACTACAGCCCATAAGTCCGAACTGGGCTCTCCAAGCCAACTCGGAGTGGCCACCTCAGGCCGGCCCTTCATCTCGGGCCAGCCATATGGGTTTCTCTTTGTTCACCTCGTTCACCTCGTTCACTCGTTGTGAGTGGACTTAGCCACTAAGCTCCCTTACTAGGACATATCTATCCGTAAAAATTGCCGTTCTTCCTGCACCATTCCCGCCCTTGAGAGCGACCACTTACTTTTTTATGCGCGTTCCGTTTCACAACACGCTGGTTTTACTATAAATACCCGCGGCGACCAAATGAGAGCAATTAGTAGCCTTCGAGCAGTCTACCACAGAAGTGCACGATGAGAGTTCTGGTTAGTTGCGACCGCCTCTTAAATTGTGTTACGTGAATAGTGTTGTGCTTTAACATTAGTGACGTGACTTGAATATTGGATTATAACAATTGGAATACGGTGGATGATATTTGAATGGGATTTTTTTCTTTGCAGATTGTCGCCGCCGCCGTCCTCGCCTGCGCCGCAGCTGCGCCTTCTGGCGCCCTGCTGGCCGCACCTTATGGCCATGGCCTATTGGGTCATGGTGCGCCCCTAGCGTTGGCGCACGCCGCTCCCCTGGCCGTCGCCCACGCCGCCCCCCTGGCCGTCGCCCACGCCGCCCCCGCCTTGCCCACCATCTCACCCGGTGATATCCAAGGCGCTGCCATCGACGCTCACGTCGAGGCCTCCGACCAAACCCGTGCCGCCGTCGACGCTGCCCGCGAATTGCACGACCAGGCTTCTGAAATTCACGGACAAGCCGCCAACGCCGCCGAAGACCACTCATGGCAAGCCGTCGACGCCGTAAAGACCGCCGAGGCCCAGCTGGACGGAGCCGCCGCCGGTGTTGCCCCCCTGTTAGCTAAGCAACTGGCTGGTAACGTTGCCATCGCTGGCCCAGCTGCATATGCGGGTCATGCCGCCTACGCTGGTCACGCCGCCCTTGCTGGTCCCGTCGCCTACGCCGCCGGACCTGCCTACTTAGGTGGTCACGCCGTCGGACCCGCCTACTTAGGTGGTCACGCCGCCATTGCCGGCAGCCGTTCCGTGTCCACTCAGTCCATCTCCCAGACCCACCCTGCTCCCCTCATCCATGCGCCCGTCGCCTACGCTGCTCTCAGCGGTTACGCTCACGGACTTGCGCATGGATGGTAAACTGTGATAACTACTTAGTCAAAATAGGCGAGGATGTGTAAATAAATGAAATAGTAAATTAACCTGTCTTTTAATTCAGTTGACTATATAATACCGTTAATTAGATATATATAAAAGGAGTAAAACATATATACAATATATTTAAATCCTTTTTAATGAAGTTTTTTTATACAATAGTGATGGCAGACGAGCACACAGTTCACCTGATGGTAATTGGATGCTGTGACCCACAGGCATCTATATTTATACTCGATTAGGAGTCAAAATGCAGATGCGTAGTCACCCCTGAGGATCATGATGAAATGCCTCGTTTCTAGTAAAAAGAATCTCCAGTTCTCTACATTCCTTATGCGAAATACAGCAACATGAAGCTGCTATTTTACGCTGGTATTCTGTGAAAGCGTAGTCCTACCCCGGTCCAGCCGACTCATTCATACAACAACCATAATAAAGAAGCAGCTTGACTCTACTACTCTGTGATAATATTTAATAAAAAAGACATCAACGCGTGTTAGCCTAATAAATTAATCATGTTTTATTGATCACATCAGTCATCCATTAATACACTATTAGTCGCAAGTTAAGAGTTTCTGATAACTAATTCACAGTCTTGAGTTCAAGTCCCAACCAAAGCCACACATTCTATACCTGTTTGCTTTACCATTGGACTACCGAGCGTTCTTAATTAAAGTGATTTCTTTCGTTTTTATTTTGGTAACAAATAATAGTTAAAAAAGTGGTTCATTGAGGGTTAAAACTAATTTTTTTTCCACTAAAAAATCCTTTTGGCGCGGCGCCACATTAACGTAATTCTAGATAAGCTGTCAAATTCCGTACTTTACATTTTATTCGCATATTTTATGCGGTATTTTTTCATTGAAACAGACTCTACTTGAAGCCTTTTAGATTAATTATTAATTATTTTTAATAATACAGAATAGTAATAAAATGCAGTAGGATATAGTTTTATATACTCATAAGGCTGAGAAGAATTATATCATGAATTTCGTTCAGTGGAATAAAAAAAAAGACAAACTGTATTAATTACGGCTTGAAATTAAATTGATCAAAAAAGAAATGTGACCTTTGTAATATACGAGGAAACTGTACCCTTCAGTTCATATTATTAATCTTTCACTTATCATACGTAAGACGTTTTTAATTTATTTATAGAATTGCTCAATATATATCTTGTTCTGGGTTTGGGTTAATATGATTTTTTAATATATTTACGTATGAAACAATATTAGATACAATATTTATAACAATAAAAAACTAAAACTAAAAACATCATATAACCATACTTCCCAAGGTATAGTGCCTGTACTTTGCGTTTGTGTGAGTAAAAATCAGCAGTGGCGACGACCAGACAGAAGAGAACACACCGGGCCGATAGTCTCTACAGCAATTGGAAAAAATATATTTACTGGGTTCAGGACTGAGATGAGAGGCCGCCAAAGTATCTACGTACGTAGCATTCAATAAACGCTAATGCTCAAAATTGAGGGAACGTCTATAGAGACGTCGTTCAGAACAACGTGACCAGATACGAGTACTTTGGTTACTTGAAAGTTCGTCGAACTCAAATACTCGTACGTCGAACACAAAGTTTAAGCTACTAATGTTACAAGTTATAATTTTCGTTCACGTTGTTGTTACAGCCTATTAAAGTCCACTGCTGAACATAGGCCTCCCCCATAGATAGCCTCATAAAGCTATATATATGCATATCAGGCATAATTGCCACGCTTGCCAAGCGGGCTGGCAATCGAAACATAAGTTATTTTTATTAAGAAGACGCTGCTGCCGATCTCCTGTATTGTACTTCTATTGCCTCTTACTACACCCACGGGATAATATCAGGTAGTGGATATACTTACACCGCCACTACATACACAGCAATAAATTAAACTAGTCCTCATAATTAAAAAAAGGAAGAAAAAGAAGAAGAAACGGAGGAGTAGTCGCGTTAAGAAGCGATGAGGAGGAGTACCAGCACCATGAAGTAATGCTAACGCGGTCCCGTGGTCATGGGTACTTAAGAGAGCGGAGGTTTTAGTGGATAAAATCCCACACTACCGGTCTTACAACAAATGGACCGGTGTCTTTTTGAAGATTTCCTCCTTACTATATTAAAAAAGAAACTAGTCCCAATAATTATAATAAGAAATTAAGTAAGTGTACATTTTTTACTGGTATTTACGCATGGACTAGCGGTCAAAACACTACGTAGCTCGAATCCCAGTCGGAGACATTCGCGCAAAAATTTTGTTTTGGGTCTAGAGTGCTGATCTGTAGAATCTTATAAGCGTTATATCAGGTATGGTGATTGGCGTCGGATGTTGAGTGCGGCCGCATTATTGTTATATTGACATTATATATATATATATATATATATATATATATATATATATATATATATATATATATATATATATATATATATATATATATACACAACATATATATATATATATATATATATATATATATATATATACATAACATACATAAACACTCACGCCTGTCACCCAGAGGGGTAGGCAGAGACTACAGACTTCCATTTAGCACGATCCTGACATACCTTTCTCGCCTCTTCCACATCTATATACTACGCATACATGCTCGTCGGTTAAGGGTACTCTTAATTTGTCCCATTTTTAGTATATCGCCAATTTGGTCGACAAACTTCCGCCTAGGACGTCCCTTTCCGACTCTTCCATTCACTTCTGCAACATATATTTGCTTTGTCAGTCTTTCCGCATTCATTCTTTCTACATGACCAAACCACCGAAGCATTCCTTTCTTAATCCTGGTCACCGCATCATCTTGCAAACCACACTCTTCTTTTATCACACAGTTTCTCACCCTGTCACTCAGATTCAGCCCTAACATACTCCTTAGCGACCGCATTTCTACTGCATTTATTCTACTCTCGTGCTTCTTCTGCCACACCCAACTTTCACTACCATACGTTAAAGTAGGGACTAATACAGCACTGTGAATTGCCATACGTGCCTTTTTCGACACATTCTGACTTTTCACAATAGAGTGTAGAGCCAAATTTACTTTATTTCCTGCATTCACTCGTCGTTCAATATCCTTATCATATCTCCCATCCCTGCTGAATACACATCCCAATTATACGAACTCATCCACTTGCTCAATTAACTCTCCTTCTATTCTTATTTCACATACCGTTTTGCTTTCATCTCTTTCAAAAACCATCACTTTCGTCTAACTTGCGTTCACTTTCATTCCCCTTTCTTTTAATGATCTGTTCATTAATGTAACCATCGTTTGCAACTCGGCCGCCGACGACGCAAGTATGACTTGATCATCGGCGTACAAAAGGCATTTGATGGTTAACTCACCCATTCTAAACCCGCATTCTTCAACTTTCAAATTTTCCAAACAGCTGTCCATAAATAGGTTGAACAGCCACGGGGAAGCTACACAGCCCTGTCTGACACCTTTATGGATGCCAAACCAGTAAGGATGTTACAAATATATATATATATATATATATATATATATATATATTTGTAACATCCTTAAGACTAGAGCATCGGCGGCGATCCTCTACATTTTTTAAATAGAATAAGAGTAAAAAACGAGCACACAATTCACCAGATGGTAAGTGGATGCTGTGGTCCATAAATTTCTACATTTATCCTTGTTTAAGGATCAGAATGCAGACGCGTTGTCATCCCTGAGAACTAAGATGGGATGCCTCGTTATCCCCATGATGTTACGTACCACGTATAAAATTAAGTGGAAGATATCCTTCAATGTTGCGATTGCTTGCGCACATTTTCAAGTATCATAAGTAAGCATCATTACTACACTAAAAATCAATCTGCCTTAGTTAGGCACACTTCTAAGCGGCTTTTCGCCGCTTGCGCGCTCCTTTCTGCCAAGGAGGGTCGCGTCCGTATAAGGCTTAGAGATCTCTCGTCAGATCGGTAAGCCAATCTCTAAAGGCGGTGTTTAGTGGGTAAAAGTCTCCACATAACCACTCAGCCGGCTGCGTGGTATGCTATGAGGATTCACCGCCTCCCTCCCCCGCTTTCCGGAGGGTTATTATTGCTTCGGGCGCAAAAAATAAAATAAAAAAATACACCAAAAATCTTATCAATTTCCCTTACCTTTACTTCAAGTAAGAGACACTATGATTAGAAAGTGTGAGACATATTTAGCTCCTCCCCCCCCCCCCCCGGATGACAACCTTTTTATCTCTGAGTAAACAACGATATTTTATATGGGAAAATGCCTACGCATACACACCTCGCGGGGGCAAGGACGAGTTATGTCGCTAAAATCTCAAGGTGTTCCATCTTCGCCGCATACTCGATCTGCGCAATTGACTTACTACAGCCCACAAGTCCGAAGTGGGTTCGCCAAGCCCACTCGGAGTGGCCACCTCAGGCCCACCCTTCATCTCGGGCCAGCCATGTGGGTTTCTCTTTGTTCACCATGAGTGACTAAACCACTAAGCCCCCTTACTAGGACAGTGGTAATGTTACGAGCGCAACCTAAGTTCTATCTCAAGATACTCTAGAAATTATGTGAATACTTCCAAGCATTCCGATCGACCCCCTGTAAATCAAATTGATTTTTATATAGAGTAATTTATTGCTATTAAAAATTTGTACATTTCATAAGATAAGATAAGATGCTTTATTTGTCAGAATATGGTACATTACTGTTGTTACAAAAGAATTTTGATCCTAAATATTCTGCCGTTTCCGGCGTACAAATATTTTCAGATAGATAATTTTTCGAATAAACTAGAAAACTAAGACACTAATTATTATATAGTATAAAGATACTTGCCGCAATATTTATGGAAACCAAATCTATATAAAACTTATCTTAATAACTTATCTATATAAAAACTTTAGTTAAAACATTTCAAAAAATTTAAATTCAGCAATTCAATAAATACAATTTGAGTCAAATTTATCATTTAAGAAATCATTTACTGAGTAATAACACTT